CTTTGGTGTGGACCAGAGTCATGTGGAGAGCTTGTTAAAATACAGATTGCTGGGTTCCATCCTGAGAGTTCCTGATTTGGTTGTGCTGAGGTGAAGGCTGAGAATCTGCATTTTTTACACATCCTATGGATGCTGATGCTGAGGTTGATGCTGGTGCTCTGGGACTACACTGTGGGAACGACTGTGCTAGCTCACTGCTAATCTACGTGGGTAATTTTCTTATTAGACATTATAAAGAAAACAAGCCAATGGGAACTGAGTCACTCTTGTTTTCCCTTTTGTGAGCCTAAGAATTCCTTTCCTGGACATACTGAACTGTACCTTTTGCCTATTGCCTTTTCTTTTTTGGCAGTGTGCCCCTCTATGTCTGCTGTTATAAGAACCCTTGCTAAGTTGCTAACATAGACTTTTAGTTCTGGCAAAGATCCACAGTTAACGTAAACCTACAGCTTGTGAGCACTTTATCTTTTCTATTTTCCCTTGATTTTTAATGCCAAGGTTTTCACAGACAAGAGCTTAAAATTGTGTGGCACAAAAGGTTTTTGCGTTTACAGCTTTGAGTTTTGCTGTTTTATTTTGCACTTGAAGACAGTATACTTCATTTCCCTCTAACATAGTATTTGATTCCTTATCTCCACAGCAGTCTAGTTCCTCCCACTGTCAAATGTGAATGTTTTTCTCTAGCATACTTTCTAGTCAGCCCAGTCATTTCCCTCTTCCAGAGCCCCCAAAGCAATAGTAATGTCACTGGACAAATTCTTTTGCCAGCCAGCATCGGTTTTACTGTATTTTAGTGAAAACATCCTGGTTTCTACTTAAAAATGACCTCCCCTCACTCAGCCCTAGTGGAACATGTTACCCAGCTATGACCAATCAGACCCCACCATCCCCTTATTCGGGGATAAATTCAGTCCCCCTCCAAAGTCAGGTGTCAGCTTCCTAAACCCTGGGACCTCAATATATGACTATATTTGGAGACTGGGTCTTTACATAGGTAATTAACTTAAAATGAGGTCGTTAGAGTGGGCCGTAAACTAATGACTAGTATCTTTATAAGAAGAGATAAAGACACAGACATACACAGAGGGAAGACTATATGAAGACACAGGGAGAACACAGCCATCCATAAGGCAAGGAGAGACCCCTCAGAAGAAATCAACCCTGCCTGTATCTTGATCTCAGATTACTAGCCTCCAGAATTGTCAGAAAATAAATTTCTCTTGTTTAGTTCACTTGGTCTGTGGTTCTTTGCTATGGCAGCCCTAGCAAACTAATATACTTCTGGCCCTGGAGTTGGCAGAGATTTTTCTGTAAAGGTTCAGACAGCAAATATTTCAGACTTAAAAATGGGTCATGTGGTGTATTAGTCCATTTTCACGCTGTTACAAAGATACTAGCAAGAGTGGGTAATTTACAAACAAAGGAGGTTTAACTGATTTACAGTTCTACCTGACTGTGAAGGCCTCAGGAAACTTACAATCATAGTGGAAGGGGAAGCAGGCACATCTTACATGATGGCAGGTGAGAGAAAAGAGAAAGTGAAGTGGGAAGAGCCCCTTATAAAACCATCAGCTCTCCTAAGAACTTTCTCACTATCATGAGAACAGTATGGGGGAACCACTCCTATGATGCAATCACCTCCCTCCCTCTACCTATGTGACTACAGATCCTTCCCTCAATACATGGAGATTACAATTAAAGATGAGATTTGGGTGGGGACACAGAGCCAAACATATCATATGGTCTCTGTTCCTGCTCACTTCTACTGTAGTGGCAAAGAAGTCATCATCAGTATGTTAAGTAAATAGATGTAGCCACATTTCAATGAAACTTATTAACAAAAACAGGCAACCTGCTCATAGACTGTGGTTTGCTGACTCCTGCCCTTAGTGATTGGTTCAAAAGTGAGCACCTGACTCTGGCCTGGCCAATCAGCAAGATTCTATTCCTCGGCAGAATGATCCAACGTGGGTAGCCAACTCAGGTAAGTCCAATTAGGGTGACTCTCAGAACTTGCTCCAAACACATAGGAAAAGGCAGTCTCTTCAGTGAACTGTAGTTAGGAGAATGTGAGGCTGAAGCTGTTGTCTTCAGAGTAAAACCCAAAGGCCTTTGCATGTCTCCAAGGCATCTCGAAATGCAGCCACATACCTGCCATCTTTCATCTTTTTTTACCAGAGACAAGTATTCTGCAGATGCACCACAAACACCTTAAGAACAAATGAGTAGTAATCAACAATTTACTTTTAAAGATATCTAAATAAGTGGGCTTGGCTTCTTTCTTGGATCCAGTTAACTAGAGAACTGTCAATTTCACTGTTTGAACACAACCCAAAACAACGTATTATGTTGTATTTACCTAGCACTTTATATAACAAAAGTTTTAACAAGACCCTGGGGGAAATGCAAGAGATAAGTCATTTATCAAGATTCTTTGAGAATGCCCAGAAAGAATGCAGCTTTAAAGGCATATCTGGTGAGTGATAAAGGGGCCTGAGGGATATCTGATTTTTTTTCATCCTAGTGTTATGAGATTCTTATTTAAATTGTTACACCTGAGCAAATTTAAACAGCAGCACTCGCACTGACTTTGTTGAGAGCCCGTCAGCTAAAGCTCAAACCTCTTGGTCCAGAACAAAGGGCGGTCCACATTTTTATACCAGTTTAGGGTCAGGGGGCAGTAAGCAGATTATTACAGAAGCAGAAGGAGCAAGTTAGGGGAGAAGGGGGTGCCTAACAAAAAGTCATACTTAAAATTGTTTTTTTACTCAGGATGTGGAGTAGCAGTGTGGGGTAGCAGTTAACCAGTTACAGATACAGGATGTACAGGGCCGGTGGGCCCTGTTTCTCAGAAAATTGATTACAAAGATGCCAGGTGTCTCAGACCACCAGCTTTCAGAACAGAATGCCCTACATAACTCAGTTCAGGGTGGGCAAAATGGAGTTGGCAGGATTGTTTAAAATGTATTCATTATAGCCAAGCTCAAGCTAGGGTATTTCATTATCATTAACAAAAGAATTCAACCTAGCATCCCAGGCAAATGCAAGATAATTTTTTTTTAATTAAAAATTGAAAAGGAATTGTTTTCTTTTCAGACTGATACTTATCAAAATCAGATGTAAGCTTGCTCAAGTCAAACAAGGCTTGCTGCCGTTGGCTAAAGCAGACCAAGCTGTGCTCCAGTAATAAGCAATGCCACAATCTCAGGAGCTTTCCACAGGTTTCTTCCTTGCTCCTGCAGAGACCTCTGTGAGTCTGGGCAGTTTTCTGGGGAAGCTGTCCTCTGTGCAGTGGTTGCTTTCATATGTGGCCCCTCCATTTTGACAGATGCTTCACTATGGATGGAGGGGAAAATAAAAATCAAAGAGAATCACACTCTGGCCCTTAAATGCTTCCACCTCTGAGTGACAATTAACACTTGTACTCCCATCCTGTTGGCCAGAACTAGTCACATTGTTTTGTCAGCTGCAGGGAACTGGGAAATGTAGGCCTTTAGGTGGCCAGGAAGAGGGGGATGATGGGAAATAGTGACTACCACAGTGGGATACCATCCGTAGCTGCCATCAGGAGGGATGAAAGGACAACATAATCCTTGCAAACCAAGGAGAAAAACGTAGAGAAGAATCAGGGATGCAAACAAGCAAAGGAGAGGAGGCTGAATTCAGCTGCTGCTCAGTTCAGTGGTTCCTCAAATTGTGCCCATGTACCCAGTGCCTGCACATGACACTGTTCACTGCCCTGTGGTGCAAGGGGAAAATAGAACAGGAAGTGGTCGTTGGAAAACTAAGGTGACAGTATAGCCAGGCATGGTGGGGTATGCCTCTAATCTCAAATACTTGGGAGGCTGAGATGGGAAGATCACTTGAGCCCAGCAGTTTGAGACCAGACTGGGCAACATAGTGAGATCCTGTAAGAAAAAAGGAGAGGAGGGGAGGGGAGGGGAAAGGAGGGGAAGATAGAGAAAGAAAGAGAGAGAGAAAAGAAAGAATGAGAAAAGAAAGGCTGACAGTATTATCCTTTACTATTGTTAAGCTGAAAATAACAAATGACCTTCCTACGTTTTTTGGTATTAAAACATTATTTCTTTTGCAAAATAATGATGATCATGGTTAGTAGTTGTTTATCTAATGTCCTGCCTTCGCAAAATAAGAATTTGGCAGTCACCCATACTTTTACCCATTGTTTTAAGCTACTGTCTCAGTCTATAAACCCAGATTCTGGGAGCCACTGATGTAGTAATGGTTTTGCCTAGAGCTTGCTATAGTTGTATAAGGAAATTTAGTTTTTTGAGCACTCATGCTGTGATATTCAGCGTATTTCCTCATTCCTTCCTTACAACAATGAGGAGGAAGGTATTATTTACAGAGAAGGCAACAGAGACTCAAGAAACTGCTTGTGGTTATAATGTCTCTGTTCCACTTTTCAGTGGTTTCCTGTCTGAAACTCATGATTCTAACTGAACCTACTGATTTCCCATCCCAAACCTGTTCTGGCCTCCAGCTCATGTCCAACCCCTCAGTAGCCTTCCTCATCCCCACCGAAGGCACCACCGTCCACACAGTTGCTTTGGTCAAAAACCTAGGGGTCATTCTTAACGCTTCCTTTCCTCTCCCCATCCTCTCAAATCCCACAGATCAAAGACTCCGTCTGCTGTTCTCCCAGTTGTATTTCAGGTTCATTCCCTTCACATCCCTCTGTAGCATCGCCTTTTTCAAGTCTCCCATCATCTGTCAGCTGAATCACACATTAGCTTCCTATCTGGCCCCCTTGGATCTATTTTTGCCCCATCTAACTCATTCCCTACCAATAGTCCAACTGACCCCTTATATTTTATTTTTAATAAAACAGACACAGGGTCTTGCAGTGTTGCCCAGGCTGGTCTTCAATTCCTGGCCTCAAGCAGTCCTCCTACTTCAGCCTCCCAAAGGGCTGGTATTAGAGGCATGAGCCACTATGTCTGGCCAACCCTCTTACAATTAAATTAGGCCATGAAGTATTTATTCCTCCTTAAAACCTTCCATGACTTTCCACTGAGCTTAGAAGTCAGCCCAGACTCTAGGATGGTGTCACAGGCTCCCATGACCCAAATCTGACCCTCCTCTCCAATGCCGTGTGATCTGACATCTCCCAGGCACACTGACCTTCCATCTGTGCCTAGAGTGTGCCAAGCTTTCCGCATCCTTTGCACGAGTTGTTCTCCATGACTGGGATGCTTGTCCTCCTGCTCCTCGTATGACTGGCTGCTTCTTCAGACTTCACTTAAACTGTTAGTGTGCAGCAGCTCCTGTCTCCATTATTCTCATGTTGGTCCATGGTTACTTCTTAGCGTGCATGACCATCTGTAATAATTTTGTGTATTGAGACATAGTCTCACTCTGCCACCAGCCTGGAGTACAGTGATACAATCTCGGCTCACTGCAAACTCCACCTCCCAGGTTCAAGCAATTCTCCTGCCTCAGCCTCCCGAGTAGCTGGGATTACAGGCATGTGCCACCATGCCCAGCTAAGTTTTTGTATTTTTAATGAGACAGGGTTTCACCGTGTTGGCTTGGCTCGTCACTACCTTGTGATCTGTCCACCTTAGCCTCCCAAAGTGCTTTACAGGCATGAACCATCGCACCTTGGCCTCCCAAAGGGATTACAGGCATGAATCATCGTGCCCAGCCTCTCCTACATTTTCTTCTAGTAATTTACAGTTTCTGGTCTTATATTTAAGTCTTGTAGAGACCTAAAGAGCGTGGTGGCTCACACCTGTAATCCCAGCACTTTGGGAGGCGAGATGTCAGGAATTCAAGACCAGCCTGGCCAACATGGTGAAAAATACAAAATTTAGCCAGGCATGGTAGCATGCACCTATAATCTCAGCTACTTCGGAGGCTGAGGCAGGAGAATTGCTTGAACCTGGGAGGCAGAGGTTACAGTGAGCTGAGATCATGCCATTGCACTCCAGCCTGGGTGACAAAGCAAGACTCCATCTCAAAAATAATAATAATTTTGTGCATTTATTTACTTGTTGTCTTCTTCTCTTGATAGCAAATTTTAGAAGACTGGGGCCACAACATTTTGTTCATCTTTGAATACTCAGTGCTTACAGCAGTGCCTGGCACAGATCAGGGGCTCAAAAATATCCACTGGGACTTCTGCTTCCAGCCAATATGGAGGAAAAGGGACCAGATTCACCCTCACGCCTGAAACAACAAAAATATGCACAAGGTATGTGAAATGTCAGTTTCAAGGCAGTAGATTTCAGACAATGAAGGATGGGGATCTCAGGGTGGAAAACAAATAAGGGGAGCCCAGACTGTGACTGCTCTAGCTTTCTAACTAGAGTTTCCAGGGGTGGAGAGCCCAGGAGATTCCCTGTGTCGAGGAGATGGAATTGCAAATTAGGGAAGACCAAGGCAGAAAACAGTACTGTAGGAAAGAGCCTGACCTGAGAGAGAAGGCTGGGGCGGCTCCCTGGGAATGCAGCTGTGGACTGATAGATGTGTGCATATTAGGGTTAGCCCAAAGCCAGCGAAGAAGCAGCCTGAAGAATTAGAGGGACCAGTATCAGACACTCATACAGAGAGAATTACAAGGGCACAAGGACACATTTGGAGAGTATTGCCTAGGTTCATGAGTTTTGGTGATTATAATCAAAATGTACACATATGTCAAAACTCATCAAATTGTACACTTTAAATAAAAACATTAAAATATTAGTATTTTATTGTTATTTAAAATGCTTTTTAAAATCCACTTACTAATGAACATGGCAATAATGAACTGCAGAGCCTGATTTAAGAACATGAATGCAACCCCAGCACACTGGAATTTTTACAAATTTTATTTTATTTTACTTTGTTTTATTTTTGAGATGGATTCTGGCTCTGTCACCCAGGCTGGAATGCAGTGGCACAATCTCGGCTCAATGCAACCTCTGCCTCCCAGGTTCAAGAGATTCTTCTGCCTCACCCTCCTAAGTAGCCCGGACTACAGGCACCTACAACCATATCCAGCTAACTTTTTTGTTTTTTTAGTAGAGATGGGGTTTCATCATGTTGACCAGGCTGATCTTCAACTCCTGGCCTCAACTGCTCTGCCCAACTCTGCTTCCCAAGTACTGGGATTACAGGCAGGAGCCACCAAGCCTGGCCCACAACTTATATCTTAAAATGTGCATAGAGGTAACAATACTTGTAAATGTTCAATAGATCGGCCTTTAGCAAGCACAGAGTTTGGAGAGGAAAATAAAACAAATAAATCATTCAGCTGAAACGGGCTGGAGTAGAAGTAGAAAGCAGATTGGTCCCAAAATTAATAGAAATGAGTGAGTACCCAGCAAAATACCCAGGAAAGGCTGCCAATAGGCAAGGCTAGAATTATGGAAGTCTGCCACCAGAGGTTTCATTTATCCACAGAAAGGTGAGCAGAGCAAATGCCTGTTCTTGCGAGCAAAAGAAATAGTAGCTGACTGTCCAAAGGCCTCCATCCAATCAGCTTGTGTCTGACTGGCATAGACATGCCCTTCTCTCTGGTTAATGCACCGGCTTCTCAGCCAAGAAAATGTCATTATGTGGAATCAAGACACCTGGCAGTGCTACAACGACCAGTACAAAAGTCCAGCGCTTTCACATTCTTCTTAAGTGAGGAATCATTGGGGTTTTGCCATTCAAATATTTTTGCAGAACTGTTGACTCTGCTTATCTGTAATTTCAGCCACAATCAGAACTGACTGTAACACACCACACTGAGAAACTGAAAATTCTTGTCAAGACATGAAAGATTTTTTTTCAAAGCCCAACAGTTTATACGTTCTTTTCAAATACACATAAAAGATATATCTGCAAAATGCCCTTGTGTTTAAGCCACAAAGGGAGTCTCAATAAATTTCATAAAAATTGATCTCATATTGATGATTGTATAATAAAATAAATCTACTCAGAAAACGTATTATCCAGCCCCTATACATTTAGAAACCTAAAAACACCCAGCAGTGTATAAATGTACAGAGGTAGCTCATGCCTGTAATCCCAGCACTTTGGGAGACTGAAGGGGCGGATCACCTGAGGTCAGGAGTTCGAGACCAGCCTCCTGGGCAATATGGTAAAACTCCATCTCTACTAAAACTACAAAAATTAGCCAGGTGTGGTGGTACATGCCTGTAATCCCAGCTACTCAGAAGGTTGAGGCAGGAAAAAATTTCTTGAACCCAGGAGGCAGAGGTTGCTCTGTCATCCAGGCTGGAGTGCAACAGCGCAAGCTCAGGAGCCAAAATGATGCCACCACACTCCAGCCTGGGTGACAGAGCAAGACTCTGTCTCAAAGAAAAAAAAAGACCTAAAAGACCTTTCTATTTAATGGGTTAAACAAGAAATCAAAGTAGCAACTACAAAACATTTAGAACCAAATGACAGTGAAAGCACTATGTGTGATATAGACGAACGCACCATGTGTGGTATTTGGATGGACGTTTATAACCATGTACATTAATACGCTAGAATTGCAAATTTAAAAATCGAGAAAAGAGTGAACTAAACATTCACCTGAAGAACTTAGAAAAAAAAACAACAAAACAGAGCCAAAGATCATTGAGAAAAAAATAAAAACTGAAATTAAATAGAAAAAGTGCTAGAATTGACCTGCAAAGACACAAGCTGGGTCTTTGAAAAGACACCAGAATACACACATTTCAGCGATTGTGATTCAGAAAAACAAAGAAAGAAGTGACAAGTAAACAGTATTAGCAGTGTAAAGGATGACATACCAATGGGCACTGCCAGGATTTAAAAATCAAAAGAGATTACAGTGGACTTTACGTACTACTAAACTTTAAATCCTAAATGAAATGCAGTTTCTAGATGGATTTATTGAATGTGGCCCAAAACAAACTTTAAAACTTAGAAACTAATTACCATAAAAGGAATTTCAATAGTAGCCAAAGTTCTATCACAAGAGAAAGAAAAAAGAGAAAAACAGCTACTCGGGAGGCTGAGGCAGGAGAATTGCCTGAACCCAGGAGGCGGAGGTTGCAGTGAGCCGAGATCGCGCCATTGCACTCCAGCCTGGGTAACAAGAGCGAAACTCCGTCTCAAAAGAAAAAAAAAAAAAGAGAGAAAAAAGCCCCAGGCCCATAGAGTTTGACAAACAAGTTATCCCAGCTCCTTAAACAATAGACTTCTTCTTCAGCAGTAAAAATAAAAAGCTACCTGACTCCTCTTGCAAAATTATTGTAATATTGACGTCCAATTCAAATAAACATAGCGCATGCAAGAAAATGCAAATCATACTTCACTTAGGAAAACAAATATAAAAATCCTTCATAAAATATTAGCAAGTCAATGTAGCAATGTAGTAAATGGATAGTAAGTGAATAACTGGCGAGTATCTGGGGAGGCAGAACAATTTTCAAAAGAGCCCTAGACTAGGAGTTTGAGTCCTGACTTACTGGGTAAAGGTTATCAGGATACATAACCCTCAGTTATGAGCCTCAGTTTTCAATATTACAGTTAGATAGAGCCACCATTTGTTGAATACTTAGTCTGTCAAGAACTTCGCTGAATGCTCTACATGGATTACATTAATTTAATTCCATGATGAACACACACAAAAAAAAATCCCTGAACAGCCAACACAATCATGAGCAAAAAGAACAAAGCTGAAGTTACCACACTATATGATTTCAAACTATGCCACAAAGCTGTAGTAATCAAAACAGCATGGGACTGTCAAAAATAAACAAAAAACAGATACACCAGCCAGTGGAACAGAATAGAGAGCCCAGAAATGAACCTATGCATGTATAGTCAATTACTTTTCAACAAAGATGCCATGGATACACAATGGGAAAAGCATTATTTCTTTAATGAATCACATTGGGAAAACAAGACATCCACATATAAAAAATTAAATTGGACCCTTATCTCATATCCATATACAAAAATCAACTCAAAATGGATTAGACTTAAATATAAGACCAGAAACTGTAAAACTACTAGAAGAAAATGTAGGAGAAAAACTATATAGCATTGCTCTAGGCAATTACTTTTTTTATTTGACCCCAAGAGCACAGGCCACAAAAACAAAAATAGACAAATCGAATTACATCAAACAGAATAGTTTCTGCACTGCAAAGCAAACAACAATATGCGGAGACAACCTATGGATTAAAAGGAAATATCTGCAAGCCTACATCCAATAAGGAGTTAATATCTAAAATACAGAAAACGCTTGAACAAGTCAACAGCAAGAAAGCAAACAAACAAAATTGAAAAATGAGCAAGGCTGAGCACGGTGGCTCATGCCTATAATCCCAACACTTTGGGAGGCCAAGATAGGCAGATCACTTGAACCCAGGAGTTAAAGATCAGCCTGGACAACATTGCAAAATCCCACCTCTACAAAAAATACAAAAATTAACTGGGCATGGTGGCATGCACCTGTAGTCCCAGCTACCTGGGAGACTGAGGTGGAAGGATCACTTGAGCCCAGGAGGTTGAGGCTTTAGTGAGCCATGATCATGCCACTCCACTCCAGCCTGGATGACAGAGCAAGACCCTGTCTCAAAAACTAAAACTAAATAAATAATGGGCAAGCAATTTTTCATATATTGGTTGGCCATTTGTATGTCTTCTTTTGAGGCATTTCTCAAGAGAAGACATACAAATGGCCAGCAGATATATGAAAAAAAATGCTCAGTGGGGTGCTGTGGCTCGTGCCTATAATCCCAGCACCTTGGGAGGCCAAGGTGGACAGATTACGAGGTCAGGAGATCGAGACCATACTCTCCAACATGGGGAAACCCCATCTCTACTAAAAATACAAAAATTAGCTGGGGATGGTGGCACATGCCTATAGTCCTACCTAGGCAGGAGTCTGAGACAGGAGAATCACTTGAACCCAGGAGTCAGAGGCTTCAATGAGCTGAGATCGCACCACTGCACTCCAGCCTGGGCCACAGAGTGAGACTCCGTCTTAAAAAAAAAAAAATGCTCACATCACTAGTCACTAGGGAAATGCAAATTAAAACCACAATGAGGTCATCTCACACCTGTCAAAATGGCTATTATCAAAAAGACAGAAGGTAACAAGTGTTAGCAAGGATGTGGGGAAAAGAGAACCCTTGTACTATTGGTGGAAGTGTAAATCATATGGCCATATGGAAAACTGCAGGGAGGTTCCTCAAACAACTGAAAATAAAAGTGCC